CGAAAAAAGATTTAAAATTAAAAAAGTTTATTGTTACAAAAATGCCAGCTTTGCATTATTTGTAAAAATCTGTTTCTGCTCATAACTTTCGAGAAGAATGGCGTTTCTATAGTTGGGTCTGTGGACCAATAATCGTAGAGAACGTCCTTCTTTACTTGTCCCATAAGAACGATCAGGCCCAAAAATTCCTTCATTTCAGACACCGTGATGTCAGTCCATTTTTTCGTTTTTGGTGTAATTCTATATTTTTCCATAATTTGATCATGATACCTATTAGACTCCCTCACGAAGTGCTCAATCAGGTCACTTCCAATGAATAAATTCACAATATCTATTACGCTTTCAGAGGAACTTGGTATAATTTTTACGCCGGGGCTGCCTTCGAAAGGTTCCAAAATTATATTCTTGTCGTTCGTTGACCATGTACCACAGCTGTCTTTAACGTTATTATTTATGCCCTCGTCTTCTGAATCACTGTATATTAGTGATACAGAACGTCGCTTTCGAATCGTTATACTACTGCTATCACTTTCGTCATCAGTACTACTTGCTGAACAGCAGTGAAGACAATCTGACAGGTCGTCGAGATAAAACTCACCAACACTATCCTTTTCATTCATCTTTAAGGGCTAAATTTTAGAGAAAAGCAACGATTATCTAAATACAGAATTCGAAATGCTTGCTGCTTGCTACTTGTCAGTCTAACTTAACCAAATCTAACGGAAAAAACAAAAGTCGATTAATCGACGACCGGTCGTTAAGCGCTGTGGAATAAAAGTCGAATAATCGACGGCCGGTCGATAAGCGCTGAGAACAAAACGTCGATTAATCGACGGCCGGTCGATAAAGTGTTAAGATTTTTATGCCCATGGGACAGATTTAACTTGTCGCTATATGGATTAATATGTAAAAGTAATACATTTTATACCCAAGTAAGCAGATGACGAGTCTCACTCGTCAAATGTACCGAAAGGGTTAATAAAAAAAACTTGCCCCGGGTGAGGATCGAACTCACGACCTTAAGATTATGAGACTTACGCGCTGCCTACTGCGCTACCGAGGCGGTGATGGTGGCGAATTTATAAATGTATTTCACAATTTACACATACAATTAATAAAGATTAGATTGATACAAATTTATAAGTATATTCTTTAATTACATTGAAATTGTACAGCATAATACTTTTCAGTCGTATACACAGGCCGATTTTTATTTCTCGTAGTAGAAAGTATACCGAAAGTATACCGAAAAAAAGGTAAATACCAGGTAATAAAAACTTTTAAAAGACGTCTTACTTTTCAACAACTATCTTCCGTGATTTTTTCTACGTGATCTTCACGTATCACACATTACGTTTGGCCGCATTTTACCATGTTTATGTAAGCAAGTTAATACTATGGTGATCATGGCGCAGAAAGTTGTGTATCTGCTCTCTGTGTCGTAAATTCAGATTCAAAATCAGCCAGAGACAACATTAGATTAGAGTCCCTCACGTAAGAATTCGGACATCTTCAACGTCTTATTTATATGTATATATAAGTAAAAAATTCGAAGATATCCAGACTTTTACTTGAAGTACCAACGAAGTAATATTAAAAAGAACTTACGGGCCAACCTCATGGAATTTAGCGTGCAGAAAAATTTCGTTGTCCAATAACCTCCAGTCGATAAATTTGTGTCATATTAGCGTAGATGGTAACATCAGAAATACAGTTTCACAAAAATATTTAATATCTTTCATTGTAGGCCTGTATACATTTTGATAAAACATCGGAGTAACCGTAAATGATAAAATTAATACTTATTATTCAGATATTTATATATCGGATAACTCAAAATAGTCGATAACGTCACCTTTCTTCAATTATCTCCGGGTTCTGCTGTTTAGTAACCTGTAGTCGGTAAATTAAAATCAAAATTAGCGTAGTTGCTAATTGCAAAAATGTAGCTTCACGAAAATATTTAATATGCTTCATTGCATGTCTGCATACATATTGTTGAGACATCGAAGTAACCGTAAATAATAAAATCAATTTTATAAATATCATAAAATTAATATTATACCCTGAACATCCCGATATTTATATAGGACGACGAAAAATAGTCGATAATGTCACTTATCTTCAATTATCTCCGGGTGTTTCAGGGCTCCTTTGCATGTACGAAAACTTATCGAGAGCTCAGGACTTCTGATATTATCTTGTCGATACTTGAAGAGCTCTACGTTAAATTTTATTCGACCGCTACTTCTCGGAAGGCAACGGTAAACCGCAGAGAGTATTATAAAAATTTGGCCGTTTGAAATCGACATTACATACATCTGCCTAAAACTATAAAAAAAACGCGCACATTATAAACATATGCAGATCATAACGATAAAGTGTAATAAGATTGAAGCAACTGAAAACTTATTCTGGTGTACCTTTGGTTTGTTGAAAGGGAAGACCAGTATAACCGACTCGAAAATAGAAAAATTACGTGTTTCATCGAATTCTGATTTCTAATTCGCAATCCTTAATTTCGTACTAGTCTAATATGGGCTTTAAAAGAAGATTCTTTTAGGTTGAATAGAATAAACATCTTTTGGGATTGCCCATTAAATTGAATGAATAACGAATCGTTGTCTATATAAATGCCCCCCCCCCCCTCCCTGAATAAACAAGAAATCATTAACCCAACATTACTACAATGATATTTTATAGCATGTAACGTTTTTTAAATACGCAGTTCTTATTATTACACACAGCGTCATTGTTAACAATATTTAACTGAAACATTAAAAATAATATTTCCACGGCATAATTTTAATATACAGAAATATTATATATCGTCAAGTAACAGGTTTGAAGACACTCTAAAAATATTATGTCGAAATGTGGGTAAAATCCACGTAAAATCATTGTTTCAGATGATTAATTTAATGTTTCTTGTTTACCTGTTTCTTATAGACCCGGCCTAGTTTGCGCAATCATACCGGATCAACGATTAGTAATCACGAATCTAATAATAAAACTGACGTTGGCCTTACCTTGCGAAAATATATTTCTTTTCAGCAAATTTCAAAATGATGCTGTTAAGGCAGGAGTCAAGAGCAAATCCAGATTTGACTTTGGGGACCTTGTGTAGCGAGGTGACGCGAAACATCTTGTCCGTGTGTACGTGTGCCAAGAGACACGGTGTGTCTCGCGCCGAGTGCATGTGTGAAGCGATCGATTTCACGTCCGTACACGTGCGGATACTAACGCACCGCTCGCGCGGACGCAGGAGTGGGAAGGGTTGGATCAAGTTAGTCAGATAAGGACCGACTACAGCTGCGTTCCGATATTCACCGCCGGCGCTAAAAATTCAATGTATGTTGCATATATGATCTATGATATATAAGATCGCCTTAAATTCAAGCTTAAATGCTCTATAGCCGGTGAGACGATCCGTCCATCTAAAGATAAACTTCAATATAAAACCTGAATATGGCGAAGTTCGTTTTGGACCACGCTGAAAGCGTCATTCTATCTTTATCGCTCATTGCATGAAGGCCGAAGGAAGATAGAGCGATGCTTTCAGCACGAAAGCACTCAAAACGGACTTGACATATGAATGACTATGCTTTTCGCTCGCGAAAAGTCGATCGTTATGGACTCCCCGCGAGGATGTGTTCTCGTCCGCAAGAGGTGATACAATTTGATGTCAATGGTCAAGTCCGGCATCGGGTGATATATTTTTATTATTCCATGAGAAACGTCCTCTCTCTCTTTCCCTATATAAACGACACTCGTCGTAAATGCGGAGGAATAATGTATCACGATTAGTCTTAAACACCCGTATTCATAGCGTGCGCAATCCTCCAGTCAACACAATCGAGATGTACACCGACGAGTGCATTGGCAAGCGGTGGACAGTCGAGGAAACGAAAGCAGATCGTGTCCGTAAAGTATCCGTGAACACGGGCGGGAAGTGTCGAACTCGCGAACAAAAGCCGGAGGAAATTAGGACGCGGCGGTGACGCGGGGGAAATCAGCCGGCAATACAGACACGCGTCCCTCTGTTATCCCCGGTCACCGGGTGTTTCCTCCTAACAGGGGAAACGAGGAAAAAAGGCCGGTAAATGCGCAGGATTTCTCATGCACACTCGTGCCACGCTCTCGCACACAATGTCGCAGCTCGTTGCTCGCCCGTACACGTATAAACCTACTTGTGTTCTCCTCTATCGTACCGGGGCACTTCGTGCCGGGGCACACTCTCCCCTTCTCTAAATTCGTCTATTTCCCCTTCTCGCAGAACGAGGGACACACGCGAGAACGCTCGAAACCGGAGGAACTCGCAGCCGAGCGATCTCGCCTTTACAAAAATCCGTCAACTGTCGATATATAAAGTTCTCTCTCGAAAACACCCTGTTCCCTGCGTCTCGATGCAACAGCCTCGCGCGCTTCGCGCGCACGTCATCCCCGGAGAGGGTCGGAGAAAAAGAAACAAAAAGGAGAAAAAGAATAATACATTATATATACGGTACGTACATACATACATGTATATATGTATAAAAGTGTGCGCAACATTCTCCGCGAGATAGATTTGGCAAGGAATAAAAATATCGTGATTACCGTACGATTGGTATTATGTGTTTCTGTGTGTGTGTGTGTGTGTGTGTGTGTATGTTGTCAGGGGATCAACAAATTCGCAATCGACATCGAGAGAGAGAGAATAAGACTCGCGTCTTCCTCTCGTAACGGGCCGCTTTCTTTTTAAACACGCACGCTCAAAACATCCTCCAACTGCAGAATGTTATATAATTTTATATTAATTTCATTTCATATATATAATATTAATAATAAAATAATAATAATATAATTACAAATAATTAGTTATATATATATATATATATATATATAATATTATATATAATAATAGTTATATATATAATATTATAATATTATATATACACACACACATATATATATATATGTATATATACATATATATATTAGATATATATATATACGCATATATATAATATTATAATAATTATATATATAATATTACAATATATTTTAATATTTCACTAGATCTTTTTTTTAATGTCCGTCTGCGCCTGCGCGCGCCTTTCGCCCTTCCACGGTGAGTCGAAGGAAAGCACGGGTGCGTGGAGAGCGCGGTCATATAATGCTCGATTTATTTGATTTTATCACAGGAGCCCACCTCCGACCGCCGTTCCCTCACATCACTTTGACACTGTTCCCTCCGAGTTAATAAATGCTACGCGAACAATACGGCAGAGTGGCGGGATAACGCGAGCCGTCGGACGGCACAATGATGCAAATCGCATTCGCGCGAAACAAAGAGCCGACGTAAAAAAGAAACCTTATCACGACACCGTAATATTGTTCTATAACAATCAGAAGATTCATCCCGCACGCTTGTTCTCAGCAAATTAAAAAAAGAAAAACAATATGATAAAGTAGTCGAGCCCGATTCGGTCAGGATTATTCGTTGAATTAAAAGGGATAACTAGCCATAGTTACGAAAGAAGGATTTCAATTAACATGGAGTACGTTTCGAGAAAAATATAGGTGAAAATTTAATACACGATCTAACACGTACGAACAACGCTGAAGTTCTCCGAGAAGTCAAATATGGCCTATCTCCTCTTTAAGGGCTCTGGGACGTTCATCGATAAGCTTAATCTTTAAAAATCAGTAAATCAGACGTAACTAGTAAACAATGGCACTAGTAGAGGATAAAAACGATTTTTTTCATTAATTTTAGGCGCCCATATGGTGACACAATTTTCTGTGTTGGATCCTCTTTGCATAACTACAGTCATCCGCCAGACGAATCTGGAGTTTTGCGGGCTACACCAATCGCAAGGAACCATCGCTGTATCTCTGTCTCTGTCTCTCATTAGCTTGACTCGCACCGATTATCTCGTTCGACGGCTCGTACACGATGCTCAACACAAGCGGAATCGATTGTCCAGCACAATGTGGCGTCGAGGAGAAAGCAAGCTCAGTCCCTTTTACCGGGAGTATATGCTCTCTCTCTCTCTCTCTCTCTCTCTCTTTCTGCGAACCGTTCCACGAGTTTCTCGCTCGTCTTCGCGCCCCCTTCGGAAGCCGAACGTAATCTCGCACGCCGAAGCGCCACCCGCGCGTCCTCATATCGCACGCCACTCTCCTTATGTACATCTTAAATCGTAACGAATATCCCTTTGCGCGCGCGTCTCTTCCCCACTCGTCTCGCTATTAATTATAACGCAAATTAACATTACGGTGCATCACGACTCGGTCTCGCGATGACTTCGAGTGCGCCTCCCTTGAAAAGTCTCTCTCTCTCTCTCTCTCTTCCCCCCTCTCTCTCTTTCTTTCTCTCTCTCTCTCTCTCTCTCTCTCTCTCTCTCTCTTTCTCTCTCTCGAGCCCTCGTTGTCCGTTGTGATCGTTACTTCCGTTTAATTCGCGTTGTCCCCCCGCGGCGGAGGAACCGCGCACTCGTCGTCGAACGAGACCGAGTGTCGCCACATTTTTTTCTCCTTCCTTTTCTTCCATTAATAATCTCGCGTAAAACGTGAGCCAAGTTGAATCCTCGTTCGTGGATCCGCGGAACCGCCGTAATCCCGTGTCCCGTGACTCGCGGGTGCTTGATAATAATCATCGGCTCTCTTACTCTCACATTGAGAGAACCCTGTTATTACGGCTCGATTGAGCTCATCGCAAAATTTAAATCGCGCAATCAAACACTGAGATACGCTAATTAATCGAATTGATGGAGCGAAGATCCAAGCATCTATCCATTTAAAATCCAGACAGTCAACGCTGATACCAAAATACAAACGGAAGATAGTCGGGTATTTAGCGTTTTATCAATACACGCGGTTAAGCCGTTAAAATATTTGTCCCGTAACACGACGAGAATATACCGATCTTTTGATTAATTGATTAATTGAGGCCAAGATTATTCTTAGGTTGGTGCAAAAGGTTCGTCGTGTTCGCCGAGTAAAATAAAAATTATGATTAATTATTAAGTAATTTCGAAGGACCGATAAAACTTTTGCGAATCAGACGAGCAACATCGATTCGGTATTCTTTCGGATATCCAAGGGGTGAATTTAGAAATCCTATTCGACGGCAGAGTAGGCATTTAATCGATCACTCAAGATAGAAAGAGCAAAGGTTTCTTCATCATAATTCGGATTAACGAACGCTACTCCCACCCGTTGAGTAAAATTTCCGAACACACCCCAACGAGGACTTCCTGACAACCTTTTGATATCGACACCTTACGCAATAATAAATAATTAACAAAAAGAAAGAAATAAATAATCGATTTCGTAGCTCAGTAACGATCGGTGCCTCCTACGAGAATTGAACGGAAAAACGATAAACCCTTCTCGTAGCGATTTAACAATTAGCACGAAACGGGGGAACGGCGGCTTCTCCGGGAATTCATCCGCGGAACGAGGATTCTGATTGTTCGTGCCTCCCACCGCTTCCCAGGACTCGAGCTTCCGCTCGATCACACGACGAACACTTAATAAATACTCAGTCCCGCCTCTCCGCTTGTCCGTATACTTCGTTCGGCTCGTTTTACGTATATCGGGTGTGTTGAAACTACAGAAACCTCTTTCTCGTCGCGACTGTTGGCGCGCGGATTACGCTCGCGACATGGAGATATGCAGTCGCGTCGTTCGATCGACGATCGTCCTCTTCAGGGCCGCACGGCTCGGCCCTTTATCGTGCGTCTCTCTCTCTCTCTCTCTCTCTTTCTCTCGTAACTGAGAGAGACGAACGAGGAGAACTTCACGGTACGGAGCTACTTGGATAAAGAGGAAGTCTGAATTTGTGGCAGTAGAGATAAGAACGATATGAAGGCGCACGTCGAAAACCCGGAAAGACGACTCGCTGCTCCAATCGGAACGCGGCATCTCTCCCTCGCGACAGCTCGCGTGAAAGTCGGAATTTTCAACTGGGAATAGATATCTAGCTTTATCTTTTCTTGCCTGTTAAAGAGTAGTTCATTGAGTTAATCTAAGATTAGGAGGAAAGACACGATCCAACTGGAATGTGGTTACCCCATCGCCGTGATATAATTTACAAGTCTACTCTTCCTTTCTTTTTTTTTTTCGCCTTTTCTTCCATTTTTTCCCACAGTTGGCAGTAAGAGTCTGATAAACGTCGCGCGATGTGGCCCTCTAAAATTCGGAGACGTCGTTAAACGGCGCAACAAGTTGAACCCGGAGAGCCTCCTCGGGGGAAAAGGCGGGACGACGATCTCGTTCGTCCGTCCCCGTCGCGATCGAAATTCTCCGCGGGTTCGAAACAGTGCACGCGTCTTACGCTGGACGAGAGGCATTTTCGCGGCATCACGGTGGCGAGGGCAAGAGAAAGAGAGCGATCTCGAGTGACCGGGGAGTCGGAGGCGTGCCCGCCGACGAGCCAAGAGAAGGAGGAGAGAGGGAGACATCGGAGATCCTGTTAATCCCAGCCTGCTCGGCGACGATAATAAAACCGAATAGCGGACAACAGCCGGCCACCTTCAAAGGCGCTCCTCTCTCCCCTACCTGCCGAGAGACAAAAGGCTACTCCACCGGGTCACTCGCGCTCGCATTGTTCCCCTCGCCCGAGAGAGGAGGAGGGAGACGGTGCCGTCTCCCTTGTCCCGCCAACGATCCCGTTAATCGCGCTCGCCTTCGACCTCGTCTTCGACGGCGCTGGCGGCTCGGATACCCGCGCTTCGATAAGTCCGTAAGATCAGGGGGACGCGGAAGCGTCCATCATCTTCGCCAAGCGTTCCTTCCGACCTGCGTCCTTATGTGCGTCCTCGTCGCGCGTCCGCGACGGACCCGCGACGATGAGCGAACACACGGGCGCGCGGGCTGATCCCCACGTGCCGGTAGCGACTTTCCCGAGCGAAAGTCCCCTTCTCCGTCGGTCGGCGTCTCCGCGAACCGGCTAATATTTACACTGTGCTACGCTCGTCCCGAGATCCACCCGATCACAGCCATTCGGTGAGGCAACCGCCGAACCACATCATCACTATCGGCAGCAGGTACGTCGTCAGCGCCCTGGACAGGGACATCTTCTGCCTGCTGGCGCCGTTCTCCGCGTTCGTCTGGTTGTTCACGTTGTTCGCGCCGACGTTCTTCGGCTCGATCTTCATCCGCGGCGGCGTCTCGACCTCGTGCACCACCGGCGGCGGCTGCTGCTTCGGCGGCTCCGGCTCCGGCGGCCCGTACCCCGAACTCTCCTTGAAGCCGTCCTCGTCGTCCGTGAAGGAACCGTCGCCTGACCCGCTGCCCGAACCGAAGTACGTTTCCTCTGCGGCGTGAGAGACGATTAATCATTGTTAGCGACGGCGAAGGTGCCACCGTGCTTTCGCAGAATGGCTCACTTCTACCTCTTCGTCTCTGCGCTCTCTTTCAAGCGCATTTGACGAAATAAAACGGAAGGAACAAATGCTCGAGTTAGTTTAGCCGATAATCGTATGAGTCGTGAGAGCTAGGGAACGGCGTATATTAAGCCGACTATCGAAGAAAATTGACTAAAGCGCCGCGTCTCAGCTTCGTAAAGAAGCGAATCACGGTCCTCAACGCGTCGAAAAATCAAACCTCGCACCGGTCCGGCAATGCGTGGATATCATTGGCTGATCGGTGGAATGCTCACCGGAATCCATCCATTCGACGTCTTGGCCGTTGAACGCCAGCTTCAACCTGTTCGTGATGGTGGTGAGCGCGTAGAGCTGATCCCTGACGATCGTCGAGCGTGGTCCCACGCTGCGCACCTCCGCGTTGTTCTTCTGAGACTCGCCGTCCGAAGCCACCGGGTATCTGTACCTGGAACACCGACGAGCGTGTCACCGGGTATTCAACAGTCTCAGTGAACTGGACTGGAAGAACGGAGAGAGAGAACGTTCCACTCACTTGTCCACGTGCGTGCCGTTCCAGCACTCCTTCGTGTTGGTGGGCTGGACCACCAGGCCACCGTCGTTGCACAATCGGTACGGCAGGTAGACCCAGAACTGCTTGGAGTCGCGCACTCGTTGACGTATTTCTTTCACCACCTTGTCCATGTGCACGGCATTGTCCTGGGCGCGGTCGTCCGTCACCACCGGGTCCTGGTCGAAGTTCAACGTCTCCAGCTGCAACTCGTGGTCATCCCTGCGCCTGCGTTTGCCCAATATCGGCCGGCCGCAGCCGGTGAACACCCGCTGCGACACGTCCTGGCTGTTCTCCTGGAAGTTCATGATCGCCTCGGAGATCTTCAGGTTGATGGGCCGCACCAGCACCTCGACGTTGAAAGGCCCGATCAGTCGGTCCGCGATCTTGTCCACAGCGTCTGCGTACGGCGAGCAGTGCGAGATTAGTCGATCGAAGTCGCGACGGTTACTTCTAGGGAGATTGGGACTGGGATTAATTAGAAAATACTATCTACCTAAATAATAGATAGTCTGAAAAACGTCCCGAAGACGTCCTGCAGATCTCTTCGTCTAAGAGACGTCTTAATGTGTTATCCGAGTGCTGAAGAATTAGGACGTTCTTACACGGAGAAAGCGACAGAATTGCAACAGAATTTTCCGGCGGGGACCGGAAGAAAATTCGGTTGTGGGAAGAAAAGGACGCCTGTAAGAGGTTTCTGCTCAGCTGATCGCTCTCAGTTGTCTCGACCGAATGGAACGGAATGTTCACGTAAATGTTTCCAGTCGCGATAACAGAGACGTCAGTTCTCGTCACCGAGTTTTTATCCGGTCCCTGTTCAATTGTAAGTACCGAGATTCTTTCTCGTGTATTCTAGGAAGAGAGATTACCATTGGGATCAACTACGCGGAAAAAAGAAATCCGTTGAATTTTTCCCGGGGATCGGAAGAGAACTCTCGGCTGTAGGAACGGAAATCCCCGTAGGAGAATTTCTGCTCAGCCAATTGCTCTCGGTTGTCTCAACCGAGTTTTAATGAGGCTGAATATTCACACGAACGTTCGCAGCCGCGGCAATGGAAATGTCATCTCTTGCCACCGAGTTTTCGTCCTTATTCAATCGCGGGAACTGAGATTTTTCCCGCGTACTGGAAGAAGATAATGAAACATCAGGATTAAAGAATCATTACTTTACTGCTGAGTGGTGAAGCAAAGAAAGATGGAACACGTCGGATCCGAAAGTTCGAAATTAAGAAGGATCAAAGAAAGGAACGAAAGTCTCCCTATGCGTGGAGGAAAAAAATTTATTCTCAGTTCCGTGCATCGTGAATGGCGCTCGTACGAAAAGCTCGACGACGAGAAACTGCAAGGAAATCTTCATTATCGCGACTGAAAATATCCGAACGTTCTTGGCCGCGTTAAAACTCGCTTGAGACAACCCGGAACAAACCGGCCGAATAGGGGCCTCCTACAGGATTCCCTCTGTTTCCACAACCGGGGCTTTCATCCCCACCACACACCAAGTTACAAGCGGAAAATCAGCTACCCGAAGCGGATCGTTTTCGTCCGTGCGTGAACGCTAACGCTTCCATCGCGCTTCGGTATTCGAAACGGTGTCCCGTCGTGGCCTCGACGGTTCCCTGAAAAGAGGCTCGTCGTTCGGCATCTGTGACAACACTTGTGAGACGCGGAACGAGCCGCTGCTCGGCCGCTCAGTCGCGGGAAAATCCTCGAGAGGGTAGGCAAACGTTCGACGCAAACGTGTACGACGGACAGTGCGAACGCTCGCGCACGCATTCACGTCGATGGCCACCGATGTTCTTACGCGATATAATAGCCGATGTGGTACGACGGGGGGACGAGGGGAGGGGGCTAGAAATTGCTCACCGACGAAGTGATTCCATTCAGCGTCGAGTGCCGCGTGCTGCGCCAAGCAACCCTTCATTACATTGGTGCACATGTCGCTGCACGCCAGCACGTTGTTCGGTATGCCGATGCAATATGGACAGGCTGTCATCTTGGTCAGGGCAGCTGCACAATCCGCGGACGGTTTCAGCTGAAACAAAGACTACCGTTCTAGAATCCTTGGGCGGCTCACAGCGAGATAACGGCGCGTGAGTCGTGTGGAAACGTCGTCGGGGAATTTGAAGGAACTTGGGTGAAGTTGGGGTGGCGAAATAAGAGAGAGAGTGCGAGGGAGGGACTTCGATCGTACGAAGTCCGTAAGATATGTATAGGCTGAGAAGAAGAAACTGAAATTTTGCGAAGTAAATGTTTCTCGTGGCATTTTCCTCGATATTTATCCGATTAGAAAGAAATCGGACTGTGGATCGTGGGATATATGTTTTTTCGGTGAAATGTAAGTTTCTTTTTATTAATTGGTTTATTTGCTAGGAAGATCTTATCCCGTCGTGTTGAAATAAATGTTTATTTCTGCGAGATAAACCTTATATTTCGCAAATAAGTCTCTAAGTCTTTTCTTCCCAGTGTGAGCGTACCTATACTGAAAAAAGGATTGGCCGAATAAATTTATATTAATATTTGGTAAACTTCCCTTTTAATAATTGGAAAGCTGGATATTAGATTACACCAAAATCAATTTCAAAGTTGATACGATACTCCGGCCTTTGCACGGAGTTACCGAGTCGCTCGATAGCGTTTGCTTCTGTTGGATATTATAATAAATTCTCACCGTTTGCATATTTTTCAACACGTTCGCGGCGACGGTCAGAGCCTGACTGAAAGCCCTCGTGGCCACGAAGGATCGTTTGATCTGCACGCTTAATTTCGGCGGCACGTCGCCGAACGGTTTCATCTCCTTCATATGATCGCTCACACATTCCAGATACTTATTGTCGAACGTGTATTGGCTGTTGAGCACGATGAACATCTTCTGATAGAGGATGTTGAAGAAATTGTCCAAGCAATCGTCAAGGTCCACCTGAAATATACACGAATGATTTGAGTTTTATGCGGCATAGTTGGTAATCCCGTTCGCCTTTATATCCCGCGTCCCTTAGGCGAGCACGGGTTTTTTTATTCAATTTTAAATTGAACGCGGAAATTTTTTATTAATATTTTTTACGTTATTATTAGACTTTGACGCTCTTATGGATAGTTTGCGCCTATTTAGGCAGCTTGTAGACTAATAAAAACCTACTTTCACGCTCTTAAGGATAGTTTACGCCTACTTAGGTGGTCTGTAGACTAATAAAAGCCTACTTTGAAAATACTTATTAATTTCTCTCTCGAACCTGTCATTGTATAGATTTTATTTTAATATTAAACAACCTATTTTCACACCTAAAAACAGAAATTTAAGATATCATCAAGACATAAGTAAGAGTAAATTACATTTTTATTATATTATTTATATTATAATATATGTGTTATATTATAGAGTTATATCAAGAGTAAATTTTCTCTCTTTCTCTCTCTCTCTCTCTCTCTCTTAGTTTCTGCAGAATTAAAGGTTTAACATAGAGTTAAAATTTCAACTCGGGATATAATACTGTGATTAATAATTTCTTAACGATATTAATTCTAATAATTCGGGAAGGAATTCCGAATTTTTGCACGATAAAAGAGCATAACGATTTGTCACGAGAGCGGCCTGTAGATCTCGAAAAACGCGACTTCGAGGCGTTAAGTACACGAAACAAACCGTGATAAATCGAAATGCAAATTGTCCCCTCGCGGTCATAAATTGCAGTCCGTTGGGCACGACCGCCGTGTCGGAGCCGTGCATTAATCGCAAGCCTGCGATAATTCGATAACGATCACTCGGAGTTGCACAGCCCGAGCGCGCGCGCGCTTTTTCTCCTCTTTACTTCGGTTATCAATCGGCATTCAATTCGCGCGGCTTCGAACAAATTGCGCGTCGCGTCCGATCATAACTCGGATTAATCGAAAGCCGACAACCGAGTCGCCGGGCTCGGTGGCTCGGAATATTAATGAGTGCCAGTAATTACCCGCGCAATTAGAATACAAGAGCGCCCGGCTAAGAACTCGATTCCGCCGTGATCCTGCGCGCGTCACCAAACGAAAAGAAGCGGCCGCGAGAGACATGAGAGACATGAGAATAAATTGGTACGATATATTTAATCCGTGGATGCTCTCGTCGCCAGTCGCGTGCTTTTAACATTACCACGGTGCTTAATTCGATTACATGCTCTTGGCGTCTTGGAATGAGATATGGGCCGCGCTCACTGGAAATATTTGCTCTTGGCGTTCTTGAAAATTGATTGCATTGTTAGAAGACTGGAAGAATAAACGGATCTACGTGTTTGTTATCGCGCTTGCAGCTTAATCTTTGATAAACGTCACAGTGAAAAATAATACATCGCGGATTCGTGGGTGTACAATTCGAGCGAATTTTACATTAAAAATATACGTGAGTAAAACATTTCCGTTTAATATTTTGAAATGCCGGCGTTTCGAATATTTTTCGCTTTTTCGCTTTATCGTTTTATCTATCTCGCAATCGTCAAGTTTAATATAATTTTATTTTGTTTCTCGCATGCTTTTGCTTTTTCTTTTATTGGAATCTATGCTGAAGAAAACTGTTTTGAAATTTCGCTCGGAAACCGCGCTCTCCAATTATTTCAACAATATCCCATATATAAATTTTTTCTCTCGGCCGACATTAAATGTAATGAGATGGATAAAAGCACGATCTTTGCGATTCCAGCCATCTCTGATAAGAAATCGGATACATTCGCTTTCGCAACAATGCACGGGAAACATACAGACCCCTGTGTGTCCGCTTCCGATGCGAGTGGATTTAAAACAGTTAACTAACAGCACGTTTTTCGTGCAGCCAGATTTTCAAACATCGTCGTCGTTATTCACTCGTGTACCGGATGTTACCCGAAATTTCATCTTTTCCGGGGAAAGGAAGGAGAGCACAGACAATGCGCCGCGCATGTTGGCCCCCGCGACGCGGCGGAATCGCGATTCGCGTTAACTGAACGATAACGCGGCCCGAAAAATCCATAAAAATCCCGAGTCTCATCGGCGCGTCGCTTTCGGAAGTCCGCGCGCGCCGAAACAAATGTCCCGCACTGGCGTTTTAACCGCCGCTCAAAGCGAAGTGATCCGTGAAACGTGGGAGATTAATATTCGCGATAAATTTATTAGCGACGAGAGATACGCGATGCGCGCTGCGTCGCGTCCGTCGTTGCAACAATAATGCATTCATGCAACCGGCGCACACCACTTCGACGGCGCGTCGTGTGCATGCGGAACGAGGGGGAACAGGTTCGAGCGGCGCCGGTGAATAATTCGAGACGATTTGAATGGCAATCGAAGCGACTCGTCTCGATCGTCGTCTCTCTCTCTCTCTCTCTCTCTCTCTCTCTCTCCTTTTCTGCCGCCCTCCTTTTGATACGCGTGACGAATTACACGACGATACCGCGTACCTGTCACGTACTCCCTTTAGAAGCGCAGCCCGGCAGCAGCAGCCGCTCCTTAATCCTCGCCTCGGTGTGCTTCGTGTAAATTTGCTCCGTTAAAAGATAACGCGATAAAGACGAGACGGCCCGCTCGGCGGAGTAACAGGTGCGTCTCGGCGAGCCGAAAAAACGGGAACAATTATTCGCCGCCCCTTCCTCTTAACTACTCGCAGCTTTGGCTGCGTTCATTCAGCGAGCACAATGGTTGTACAGAAGGCTCCATTAATGCAGTTCCATTCCCCAGGCACAGTGGCGTCGAAAATTTCCAGTCGGGCGCGTCGTTTCTGAATATCCGTGCGCGCCATGTCTGCCGCTTTGGAACGTCTCATTGCCGATTCACCGAGTAATCAACAATCACGGTGCACGAATATTCGGACACAATGCATGCTTGGAAACTTTCGATGTCCCTATGCCTGCGGAACCGGGCTGCATTAATGGAATCTTCTGGTATATTCGTTTGCATAGATTTTGTTTTCGACAAAGAAATAATAAATTTATCTGTACTAATATGTATGCTCTTGTACGGAGAAGAAATTGTTTTCAAGTGGAAAAATATAACACTTTCTTCTACAGTTATTCATGAAAGAAATTGTATACTATACATAGTATTACATCCTACGACGATGTGGAAACGTCGTTTTGAACAACAGTAAGACAAACTAACAACGTAAGACAAACTAATGTAAAGAAATATCGACGCAACTGCAGAGGTTAAACAAAATCGACACGAAATCTCAAGGTTGATAAATTCAATATTACATCGATGTTAAGTTTGTACTGACATGGAACACGGCAGCACTTCGAACCGCAAACTTAGATGAAGAATTCTTTTTTACACATTTCATAGTTATGCTATAACTTTTTAATGAAGCTTTTTAGGACCTCTATTTATCTAACAATTATTTTTCTTATCTTAACTCATAGAACGTACTACGAAAGTTTATACTGAGTTTTTCAACCGTTGCTTGGAAAAACAACTTGTACGTTTTTTATTATGCAAAAAAGCTGACTTTTCTCCCGACCAACTTAAATGAAACCATCTTAAACAAACAAACAAACAAGAGAAACGATCACCGGCAAATCAGTCACCGGCAGCTTCAATTGTATTCTACGAGATATTTCACAGCAAAGTTCAGGAATGTAGGTCGAAAGATCAACGCAGGTATGTTGGCTCGCAGAACAACTAGTGATGCCAGAATCAAGATGCGGCTTCATGGAACATGAAGTTGAATGGAATATATACATAAAGAGAAGCAACGCGCACAACTGAAAGCACAGACTGAAGCATATGTTCACACGAAGAACGTAGCTCTTCTTTGTATGCGTATCCCCTCCATTTCCCTTTCGACTCAACCGCATCCTGAGATTGGCGTCTCTGAGAACAACCTGAATCTGAATTTTTTTCACAGCCGAAAAGTAGATCTGATAACTAAATTTCAGTTCTGTTATGTGGACGGCTGATTCCCTCTGTGTGCAAAATATATTCGCCACCGAAAATAACCATAATTTTCGAACGCACACACGTCAATAACCGCGGGAGTCTCTCTCGACTGTTGGGTATGCACGATGGATGCGCACGACGTGTACGAGACACGGCCGACCCTCCGGAAGGTCGGTCAGTTGGATTCGCCGGGATATTTTCGACCCACCCAGCCGATCCCTTTATCGAGACGATGCCGGACGTCAAAAGCACATTGATTAAACTCGCCTTAGCACGCGATCCCCCCTCCCCCTTACCCCAGTTCGACTTTCGGCTCTCGGAAACATCGTCGGACATAGCAGACAAGGGTTGGGGGAGGGGGGATGCCAGGAACCCGTGGGTTTTCAAGGACGGCGAGGGTGGCTAAAGGTCGATCGCGCCGATTGTCGCTAATTGCTCGAAGATACGATCGCGCTTGAGGGACGGGGGAACACGAGGAAGGAGGGTGACTTCAAACTGAATTCGTAATTCGTCAGGTCCATTTCGCAAGTAGGAAGTCGTGTATTTAAACGCGGGCTCTTTCTGTAAATCACGGCGGTTGTTCGGCCTTTCGCTTCTGACGTCTCTCTGGAAACCAGGAGGGAGAAAGAAAGAGAGAGAGAGAGAAAGAGAGAGAGGAAAAGAGAGGTTGTCGGCGAGCGTAATTGCGCGGAACGGCTTGTAATAAACTTTAAATCCCGAGACACGCCTCGGCACAGCTCGGGAAATTTTCTTCACGGCTCGCAGTCTTATTTATTCGCGCTTAATGCTCCGGGCGGAGGGGGGAGCGTGTCGCGAGCAGGCGAGAGAGAGAGAGAGAGAGAGAGAAAGGGGAGGGCGGAAAGAATTAAAGCGCGATTGCAATTTTCACTGGTGTAACGGAGACAGCAACGCGCGACATCAAACGAGAAATAAACAACCCGCTCGATGCCGGGCGGCCGTGATTTCACGTGAGACTAAATTGTCGAGAGATTAAGAAGGAGCTCTTTTATTCAAGAGCGCGAAGAGAGCTTCTTCCTTTCTCTCTTTTCTCTTTCTCGTTCCTTTTCTTTTTTTCTCCTTTATGTCAATCAAAACTCGCTCAGCAACGCAAATACCGTTTTAACGGCATGGATCACCGTGGAGGATCACCATGGGGAGATACCGCGAACGGAACTTTCGACGAGAAGGACCAGGGTTTCCGGATAGTTACCGTCTCCGGACGGTACACTGAGAAAAAAGTGGTAGAATCGACAAAATCGGCGGTCACCGTCATTCGAGAAAATATTGTGATCACTGAACAAATTACGCGCGATAATACATTGCGTTGATACGGCTGCTGACTAAATCGCAATCGTTAAAATCAACTGATAACTCATTACAGCAACTGTACACGGAGAAAAAGATTTCATTGGGTTTAATAAAATTTGTTTCATTGCAAACAAATTGTCTCTTGAAATGGAGCAAACAAACGAATGTTTGATTCAGCAAACAGGACTCTGTTCTTCAAATAATAAATATCTTTACGTGAAATAATATATTTCTTTTGTATTTTCATTTAAATATTACGACAGTTGTCACAAATAATAGATTATTGGGAAAAATGTGACAATGTTAGAAAAATATTAAAGAAATTCTTTGTTTGTGGAGTAATATTTAACATATGATAACATAATTTTTATTGGAAGCCAAATATTATTTCCCCCAAATAATATTGTTTTTCTTTTTCTATCAAATTATACAACTTGATGAAATATTTTCATTCAAACGAAATGATATTTGATATTATAAATTATTTTGTTTATATTAAGCACAATCAAGTCAAACAAATACATATATTAAGTCCAAGGAAACCTTTTTCTCTATGTATAATTTGTTCAATAGACCAAATGTCGTGCTTGAACAAATTTTGTTCGTTCAAACAAAATTTCGTGAATTCTATTACTTTTTGTTTTCAGTGTAAAAGAGAGAGACTCACCGTCCCTTTCGCGTAATAACTCTCCAACTCCTGGAAGAAGTCCGTGAAGACATAGGCGTTCTGCTCGTAGAGGATACCGTAGGTCTTCTTGAACATGTCGTGAAAACCTCGCTTGCTGCCCGCCAGCAGATCCTTAAAAAGCACTGCAACGATAAATGACGTCGTGAGTTATACCTCGTACGGTACAATTACTACATCGAGCTCGGATTGCGCATACATTCGCGTCAATTCGTACACGGGAAGAAGAAAGTAGTTCCCACGGATGAAAACTACCTCCCACAGCAAAAATTAGCTGTCCATAAAATACAATTGAAATTTTAGTTAACGTAGCTCATTATTTTCGTCCCTGTGTATAGTTTTCAGCTCCCACAGCTAAAAATTATGTCTGATAACGAAATCTCAGTTGTATTATATGGACAGTTAACACTCTTTCTCCTTGTAAGCCGGACCACAACGTTATCGGCAACGAATCGCGACATCATCGACATCGACGACAGGCAACGTCGAAAAGGGAGGCTCCCGGCGCGAAAATCCCGAAATGGCTTATCGCCTGCAACCCCGTCGAGAGCTTTCCGGCGCTTTGACGCCCTCCGCGGCGGAAAATCGCGGCCGAGCGCGAAACGGGAAATTAGTCGAAGTTTCAGGGTGCGAATCGTCGTCGTCGACGGCGACAGGGGTTGGTCGTATCGCGAATTAAAAGCTCAACGAACTTGCGGCAACTACTCATCCACCCCGCCAGCCGCCCCTTTTCTACCTCCGAATACTGGCTTCTCCTTTCTCCTCTTCCTTCCCCTTTCCCCTTCCTCTCCTCGACGCTCCTCTCGTCGATCGCGTCGCTTTTTGCATCCCGACGCGACGCCGGGCGTCGGCGTCGCGGACTTGTGACAGAGAGGGGCCGGGCTCGTCGCTAAAAGGAATTTTAATCACATTCCCCGTGGCTGAAGTGACGATAAGGAGGTTCGTCGGTTCGTCGGAGGGCTCGGGCGGAGGAGGAAAAGGTGGCGGCGACGGTGGCAGCGGCGGAGGCGGCGGATCGGGGGTGGAAAAACGCCGCTTATCTTGCTCGCACGACGCGTTTTGTTCCTTTCGAGGGTGTTGTTGCTATTACTCTACCAGTCGATGACGCATTTTGCCTCATCGACGTGACATTTCGTTCTCCTATTGGTGTCTCTATCAATTCCATCGCGTGGGAATATTTTATTAATAGCCGTCCTCCGTGGCTTTCTTCTTCTTCTTCTCGCGTCGCGGAAGCGGTTCTTTTTCAGTGGAATAGGTCACGTGGCAGTGGGGGTCGGGAGACGTAAATGCTACGCTTGCTAGTGCACGGAATGAGATATAATTTTTGTTATTAGGTTAAAATAAATAATGACGTGAAATCAAGATCCGACGGCGTTCTCGGGGAAATGAAACGCCGGAATAAATCGGACGGAGCGGAAGCTGCAGCGAGAATCTGATGTCAATGTAGGCACTTTTATATATTATGGGGATTATAACATTTTTACAGAGCACGCAGAGAGAATTTGTAGTAAAAGTCATTACAGATTTATAGATAACCTAGGGACATATATATGTACCACACGTGATGATATTTATATTTTAGGGACCGAAATCTATACTGTTAAGAAATTTGTCCCTATTGGAGAATTTATTGCATTTCTTAACGAGAAAAATTCTGTCGACAGTCTATTCCCGCACTACTGAGAAAGTATAATCAAATTCACATGAAATTTATACGAAAGAAGTCTCTCTCCGTGTAGCTGGATCAAAAATCAATATTTTCAGACTCGATTATTTCAAGTCGGGTTCACGTCGAAGGATTAATAACGCGTTCTATATCTTGCCGATAGCGAAAGATACGACGTTCCTTCCTTAGGATCTTCGACATTTTTCGAAAATCTTCCTGAATTAACGCTCGTCAGAGGCGGCCTTTGATCGGACCCGGTCACAGGACCGCCGTAGTGTCAGCAATTAACGCGAAAATTAGGACACGTCCTGACCCAGGAAGTATCCCGGGTGGCTAACGATCTTGGCTAACGAAATTACTCGCCGGTGCGACTTCGCCGAAGGCTTCCGCCCTGTCTCCCATCTTTTCCGCTGTGTGCCGCTTTCACGGCGAGGCCCCTTTGAGGTGCCACCTCGGCTCGGTGCCGAAGTACGTACCCACTTTAGCCGGCACTTCGCTCGATGGAAGTTCATAGAGGCTTTACAGGATCCTCCGTCGTTTATACAGGGCGTGCCGCGACAGGACGTTCGACTACACATATTTGGAATCACTTCGAGCTCCGGTGGTACATCACGCTTCCGCTCTCGGATTGAAAGAAAAAAGCGAGGAGGGAGTATTTTACAAAATAATCAAGAATTTCTGGATTTTGCGTCAGTGTGAATAACACGCTCGAATAGGGCCATGTTTTGGCTCTCAAATTAGAAAAAGCAAGGAAATAGTATTTTACAAAATATTAAGAAGTTTCTGGATTTTACACCAATAACACGTTCGAATAGAACCTCATGCTTCCGCGTTCGAATTGAAAGAAGCGAGAAAAAAGTATTTCACAGAATGATAAAAACATTCTGGATTTTACATCAATAACGTGTCCGAATAGAACTTTGTGCTTTCCCTTTAAATTGAAGGAAGCAAGGAAAGGGTGTTTTACAGAATAATAAAAAATGTTTCGGTTTTACATCAATAACATGCTCGCACAGAACTCCGTGCTTTCGCTCTCAAATTGAGAAAAGCGAGGGGGGAGTATTTTGCAAAATAATGAGAAATGAAATCTGGATGTCGCATCAGGTATCGACAATACGCGAATTTTGGAAAGCGAGCTCGGGGAAATTTCGCAAGAAGGTTTCCATGGAGTGTGGTTTTATCTGATTAAAATAATATATATATATATATATATATATATATAGATAACAGTATCTGAGATATTCGCGGAATACTCGTCGACTTCGTCGCATATAATTTTCCCTGGCGGATCGCAAGACACAGATATCCAGCCGTGGGACAGCCTGTAGATGGGGAAGGGCGGTGCGCCGGAGACAATGCGATTTTCCACGTTCATCGATATTCTATACGCTGATACGCGACGGCGGAGGTCCCGTGGAATTCTCACCGTAACTTATGCACATAGATTTCTGCGCAACGCAACGATATGCCCTTCGCGGCGCCGAAGAGCTGAGATCGCAAATTGTCGCGCAGGAGTCCCCGCCGTTTGTACAGCCGACGCGGGAATGCGGTCTCGTGAGAGACGGCTTTGCGTTCACGGTGGATCTCATCTTTCACGATTCATCCCGATCTATTCGCGGATCCCTCTTGACTTTGGCTCTCTCTCTCTCTCTCTCTCTCTCTCTCTCTCTCTCTCTCTCTCTCTCTCGGCGTAACGCGCGTGAATATTTTTCGCCGAAATTTTCGCGCGAAGAGCCGCGAAGAACGCTGTGAAAGACGCGCCTTACACGGAATTAAATTGCTTAAACGCACACAAGAGATTACTTTAGTCGTCTCTCGCTGTGAACACGCGTGTGAATTTTTATTTTAAATCCGTTACAGCGAGAAAATTCGCGCGAAGTAAAAAGTCGCGAAACGCTCTCTGTATCAGCCGGAGCAAAGCGCCGTCTGGAGGATAAACGAAAAATAATAAAATTACACGGCAATTTAATTATTTAAGCGCACGTGAGAGATCGCTTTAGCTGTCTTTCCGTCGTGCGATGAGCGTGGATCTTTTTCCGAAATTCGCACGAAGTAAGGAGCAGCGAGAAACGATCTCTTTGTAAAATACCGGCCGGAGCGTTGCGAGAGGTTATATTAAAGGTTACACGGCGATGTAAACGTGATATATTATTTTAGCTAACCCCCTCATCGTGACCAGCGTGAATATTTTTCCGAAATTCGTTTGAATGAAAATTCGCGCGATCTCTCTCTCTCTCTCGCTCTCTCTCTGCGAAATAGTCAGGTGAAGCAAAGCGCCGTGAAAGATACACGAAAGGTTACACGGCGAGCTTAATTATTTAAACGCACATGAGAGATTACGCGAGATCCTATTAGGCGCGGTAATGTCCTCTCGAAGAAGTTCCCACGCCGTTTTGCGGGTAGAGTTGCTCTTCGCAGTTGGCGGGAACGGATAGCGCCCGAAGCGGCTTCGGGGAAGCTCGAATAATTACCAGCTCGACACGGCCATTCCAGAGAGAGGGCATTCAGATATTGTGCGAATTGTTAACGTTACCTGCCGGCACCGACGCTAATTACGACGCCGGGTAGTCGCGCGCTCCCGCTCTCGCATTACATCTCCCTATTAATTGCAGCGGGCGACGATGACTCGATGCAATCGTGTCTGTTTGCCCTGCGCGCAAAGTTACAGCCGCGCCGGTGTCCCGGATAAGGGAGCCCTTTGTCATCCGCCGAAGAGACTCGCAGACGGTGCGACCTCGGTATCGACGCGATGGAAGATAATGGAAGTGCGAACGGCCGGAAGAAAATCGATACAAATAAAGCGGCGACGGTAGACAAAATTCTATATTCCCCGCGCGAAGTCTCAGCCACGAGGCGAAAGCGGCTCGATCGATGCACCGTGCGCGTTGTTTTGCGCGACGAAGATAATAACGAGATGTCCGCGCGATAGAGAGAGAGAGAGAGAGAGAGAAGTAGCGCACCATGTGCGAAATTAGAAGTTATATATTAGCAGAAAGAAAAAACGCTAAAAAATCCACCTTTTCTCATAAAGAATGTAGAGATTTCCAACGAAAAATTGTCCCCTCTGAACACTCGAATTTTCTTCTGTATTCTTTGGTTTTGCAAGATTAAAAGAATGTCTGAACGAGTTTTAACAGGGAGAGAAAATATTCATTCAACTAAAAATCCGAAAATGACCGACTCGTAAAATTTGCAGGTACGAGGTGTAACTTCCTAACTGTCGATATTCGATGCTATCAATTAGTTATCAATTTACCGCTTCGACATGTCACGCATGAAGAATGCGACAATGTGTGCACGAGGTACAAAAATATTATGGAAAATCTAAAAAATCGCCCAAAATTTTGTTTCCTTTATAACTCGATTTTATATCAGCTCCGTATTGTTTACATCTACAGGCTATGCGGTGTTTTATCAACACTTCCGATACTTTGCTAATCGATTTATCCATGTAAAATATAATATCTTACGTTCTATTATACAACATATGTAACTTCTTTTTATGTATGTAAAGTGGAATTCTCCCGTTTATATAAATAAATAAGCAAACAAATAAATAAATAAATAAATAAATAAAACCCTCAATTTATAACAATCGTAATATCAGGATGATAACGCATATATTAATTCTATTGATTTCAATTAACATTCATCGCGATTTATACGCACACAACACAAGATAATGCGGACAATGCATTGGTCGGGCGAAAACAAAATAGAGAACGAATTGAAAAGTCGGATATAAACGCGGTATCGAAGGGTGGAGAGTATGAATATGTATGCGCTCGTACGCCGCACCGCACGGATATTGAATCGCGTGTATTCGCAAACGTCGGGCAAACTCAGGCAAATCAAATTTCAGGCTCTTCGACCCCGGGATTCGGATATCTAAAAGGCGTATGCAAATGCGAATACGCGGGGAACACTTCGGGAATGGCGGGTCGAGTGTCGGCTGCAAGTACGAGAGAAACGAGTGGGAACGGCGGATATCCTGATGATCCCTTGTACCATTTACGGCAGGCGTGACAAATTCCCTCCCATAAATCGCCGAATAACAAATCAATAAGGACGCCTTTATTTGCGGCGCGCCAGCGGCCTTTATCCCCGGCGAATAGATTCGGTAAGATCTACGAGCTGCTTCCGAATTCATCGTTTTCCCTTCCACGCGATCACGATGCGAATCTCGACTTGACACTTGGCACTTTCGATCTTTTTCTCGAGAAAATTTACCTTTAATTTCCGATCCATTCGTCTCCAACCTCTGGCTAAATTCTTGTTAACGGAAACCTCAATTCAGTCGCTCCGAATGATAGAAAAAATTTATCTATTTATTTATTTAGATATATAGATATAAGATGTAAGATATTATATTATAAAGTCTATAATATTTAAATTTAATGAGAATTAAAATTATTTTATACTAGTCACCTTAAACGAAGACGATGATATGTGACGAAAATCTATTATACAATTTAACGAATTTGCAAGAAAACATAAATGATTAAATTAGTATTTATATATATTAATAAGCGATTAATAAGTGATTGGTTTAAATTTTCCATTAAGAATATGACGAACTTATATGAGAAAGTAAAGCACTTTCTAAGAGGTCTGATGAGAATATTAAATGAGAATAAAATTCCAATAACTCTGGGCACTCAACCAGATCTCTTAGAATTTTGAACAAAAATAGGAAATCCATAGGAACTCTTCTGTCTTTTAAAGTTAATAAACCGAGCTTGGATAAAAGTTCGTACTTACTCTGTGTGATCGGCATGGATTTACCTCAAATGAAATTGACTTTTCTGAGAAATCGGTTTTGAAGACGCTCGAGAAGGATAGAATGGCTTTGATACGGAAACCAGACAGTAGAATCATACACAAAGTGAGGGCGAGCTAAAAAAAGTACATATTCTGAAATTACGCCTTCAACAATAAAATTACTCTCCACGATATTTTCTCATCTTCCTTTGTCCTTCCCATTTTTTCTTTTTTTTTTCTTGTTGATATCTTACAGTGTAATCGACGTAACAATTTGTCCCAGCTCTCTCTCTCTCTCTCTCTCTTTCTCTCTCTCTGGTCATCCGTTGCAAAAGAAAAATATCATCTTCGCGCGTACCATCATTATTTTCCTCCGATATTTCCATCCTCCCCCGGACTACGTTGACACAATCGAGTCGATACGTTTGCACGTGCTTGCGTGCCAGGCGCCTCCTCGAGCGCGTGCACGCATGTATAAGACGGCGTCTGTACAAGAGAGCACGTGCGTGCGACTCTCGTGCGCGTGATGCATCCTCTTCTCTCGCGCACGATGCACCCTGCGGTTCCGCTTTAATTAGGAAAAACCTCGCGAGAGCTCGCGTGGCTCTCGGCTCGGAGAAGAAGCGCCTCCAGCGAGAGGTCGTCAACATCCACTTCCGCGGCGAACACGCTCGTGTGAAGTCAGCTCCCGACATTCGGAAAAAAAAAGTAACTTTCTACATCCCATTCGACTGCTCGTCGTTTGCAAATATTTGGACATTTAGGATTTCCGTTTGCACACCTCTAGTTTACAAGTTCTTTAAAGAAAGGAAATTGGGAGGAGGCTATTTCTCAAATTTCACCGCGCATAATCGATGGATTTTCGTTTGCACATCTCGAAACGATTCCATTTTTCATTCGCACACCCCTGGAAAGAAAGTTACTTAACATTAAAGTTTGGGTGAGACACACGCCATGTATGATCTCTTGTATTTTTGCAAAATGGCTTTTTCACACACTTAATCGATAAACCTCCGTTATATTACAAAACAAAGTCGTATTTTCGCGTTTTCACATTTCTACGATAAACGTAATTTAGCATTAAAAATTGAGAAGGCCAGCTTCGCAGGAGCTGACATCGGTTCTTTTTTTTGCAAAATCAGAATCTAGCGAACTTTTTGCGAAACGAGAATCTAGCGCATCGATAGATTTTCGTTTGCATATTACGACACAACTCGAGTTTTCGCTCGAACATCTCTAGGGGAAAAGAATTTGACAATAAATTCTTGGTAAAACGCGGACACGGTACACTGTCCTTGTATTTTGTCAGAGAACTTTTTTTCCAGAGAGGTGTGCAAACAAAAGGTCAAAATGTGCGAACATGTGCAAACAACGAGCAATCGAATGAGATATAGGAAAATATGTTGTTTTTCAAATACTAGGGGGTTAACTGCACACGGATGGAAGAATACAGCCGCGCGCATTGCTCCTGAAACCTCGTTTCATTCTCCTCCCTCCCGTGCCACCGCCGTAACAAACCCGCTCGCGGCGCGCGTAAGACGGGGACGAGTGTGTACGTTCGATCGAGCATTGTGCTTCGAGCATGTCGGTTAAAAAGTTTCGTGCGGAATACCCCCAGGGGTAGGGTAGGTAGGTGGGTATTCACCGAGGGTGATCTTCCGAGTGACGTCCGGCCGATTAAACTGCTCGACTACTCGCGAGGGTGGGTTGTGCGTGTAGCGGAGATAAAGGACGAGGGATTGCTCTCTCCATGAGAGAGGAAGAGAGGGAGAAAGAGAAGGATTTCTCGTGTCGGTTTTGAGGCCTTTTTCTTCCGGCAAATTTATCCTTGATATTTGTGAGCGTCTCATGTATACAGGGCGATACAATAATATTTATTAATAATAATAACAACTACATAACTATTATCGTCTGAAATATCTTTGAGAGATAAAAAAGATTTTATTCACGACTAGACGCGCAGGTGAAAAATGTTTACACTTGCGGAAGGTGTTCGAAATGACTACCGCATTGGCATCGATGTAATTTCTGTTGTAATTTCCGGACATATTTTTTCTCTTTCGTACTTAGAAGATATTCAAGATGGTAATAATTATTGCTTCACTTTATAATGACACATATTAACAATGCGTTTTTCCTGCTGCTTATGTGTGATATGTAGGATATAATAGGATAGCATTTAATATATTTTACATATATATATGATAAGGATATCTTATATTCTCTCTCTTCCTCTTTCTATCTCGAGGCTTCTCCATTAAGACTTTAAGCCCTTTCCTTGAATATTCGGACCCACATTTTATCAATCTTGCGCCGCGCAAGTACTTACGATAGCATCGCGATCCTTCGAAAGGACTTCTTCAAATGTATGAAAGGAAAAGCCTTCCAGCTGGCGGGAACTCGAGTCTCTTACTATGAAATATTGGTTTTACTTCCGGATGCTGAATGTACGAGCACAGCGCGTTACTGTCGAATAAGTGGATTAAAAGGATTTGAATAAGGCGATTAAAAAGTTTTGCCGGTGTAAAGCGAATAAAATGGCGGGATGGAAAACAGAGGAACGGTTTACGTTGGAGTTTGTATCGGGGACACGAAAGGGACTTGTTAATCGCGACTATTAAATACAAAATTTAATTTCCACCTCCGTCGTCTCTTAGAAGACATCTTTCTATCTTTCTCGGCTGAAAAACAGAGAGGGAAAAGGGAGAGAGGACGAGAGAGAGAGAGAGAGAGGGGGGGGGGGGGNTCTAAATACGTATTTTATATAATACTCCTTATTTCTAGAATAGATCTATTTCAAAATCAAGATACATTTCTCCTCGTAAAAATCCTTTTTTTCTACCTAATTCATACGTAATCCCGTCTGCTTAAAAATTTTTCCAATCGCACAGTGAAAGAGTCTCTCGCATTCGATTTCAATTTCTACGGTATATAATTCATATCCAGAAAAGAGTCTATACTAATTTTGACGTTTTTCATGAAGTAAAAATTCTTTAATGTCTGATCAGCGCGAATATTTCGCGGTCGAAGCGAAAAATTCATCGAAAAGTCCTTCAATTCATTCCAGTCGATTTGACGTTAACGACGTTCGATGATAAATAAATAAGTAATCGAAGATACTTCCTTCCCCCTCGTCGTCCTTCGTTCGTTCGTTCGTTCGGTTCTTCGATTGAATCAATGGAGCACGCGCTAATCGCGCTATTCCCACCAGGCGAGAAACTCGCGCCACGCGCCGCGGGCTTTCCTCATCGACGAAATTGGAAAAGAAGACGGCTCACTACTCACCGTGGAACTTGTTTCCCCGCGCAGTCAGGATCTGGTGCAATTTGTGGAGAGTTTCTCTGGCGGTCTTCTCGTGACTGTCGCGTGCTCGCGCCTGCAGTCTCAATTCCATGTCGGCCGAGCAGCACACCTCGCCGCCGCTGCTCGCGCTGCCGCATACCTTCAGTTCCTTCGCTGCGAACAAGCAGATAATCGAACAGATCAGTAGCGCGTCTTGATGAAACGACAGGATGATCGACGTATTCGATTCGCGAAGAGCTAACGTGTATGCTGAGAAATGAGTTTGTTTGGATCTACCTGACCAATGGACAGTCGAAAAACGTTTCGATTGAAAGAAACAAAATTTCGAATTATGATGAACTAAATTTCGTTCTCATAATCAGAAATTCCGGTTTCCTTCCACGGAAACGCGTTTGGTTGTTCATTGCCAGAATAGATCTCTCCTCAATTTTTAGTATGCAAATTATTGAACGTTGTACGGTTAAAAAATGTGGTTGTATCGGTAGAATTTCTACCAACATTGTTTAATATTCAAATTATTGAGAAACAATATATGATGTGCCGGTTTCAAAAATAATGAAACAAGAAAATTCATTCCAATTATATGTCGGCCGACTCTATCATGGAAAAAAAAAGTTTGGTTGAACTAACATAAAAATGAATGAACGAAGGGCAATTTGTTTGGGAAGGAAACGGAATTTCCCATTCTTATGAAAATTACATTCGGTTTTTGATAACTAGGAATTCTGTTATCTTTAATCGAAGCGCGTTCGGCTCGTTCATAGTCACGTCGGTTCGGCCAATCATTTCTCTCCACGATAAATACAGCATTTCGTTCCGTGTGGATGAAAAATGAATGTTTGCGCACGGAAGCAGAAGTGACGTTCTTTTTCGTGCGCTGAGAGAAATATTTTTGATATTTGTGACCATAATCGCACAAGTGACAGAATTATAGCCAGGAGAGCCATTTTTCTAGTAAGCCTCACCGAGTGCTTTTCATTTAATGGCACAAGTCGACATAAGTCGACATTTTGTCTTTGTTCCATATTCAATGAGTAACAAAGATAGAGTGATACTTATATAGACCCGTGTCGGCAAAAGCACCCATTGTAGTGTCAGTGATAACAACATCTAACACGCATATTGCCGCTACTATTTTTGGGGTTAAAACCAAAAGAAGATATAGTCGAGGTCGAAATATAACAACTACGATTTTAGCGAGATCTTTTCAATGTGGTACCTTTCCCTCCCTAACTTTTCCGAAGACGGCTCCCGGGGGAAGAAATCACGAAATGTGACTTTCGCTCACCGGTACGCGTCGTCCCCATCGACGATAACGGGAGGAGGCGAACGGGATGTTTTCAGGATATGTGACTCGCGTGCGCGCACGAGCGGTGGCACTCGAGTGTGTTTGAAGAGGGCATACTTGCAGGCGGCGCGCAAGACGCCGCTCGCTCGAGAGGAGTTTCCGGTAAATGCAATTTAGTTTTGAGAATCCGAGAGACAACGGACTGCGCACACAAAAGCCCGGCCGCGGCACCGGAGAGCCGAAGAGACATTGTGTTCTCCCGGGCGGCGCGCGCTCGCACGTATGCATTAGCGAGTGTCGAGTGCTAAATTAAGCGCGGAAATTACTGTACTTGTTTCGAGCGGCTCTTGTTCGCCGCTACCGCCCGTCGTTGTCGCGTGACACTCGCGCGATGTTTGCGCACTCGCAGTTCCGACACGCTTCGGAAGCGATTTGACTTCCCCCTTCTTCATTAGATCTCAAACACGCCGTCTGTGCGTGTTTCGAACGGCCAATTATGGGGTATCGGTCTTAGAAAATCGGGACTTTTAATCAATGATAATAAACAATCTAGATAGACGGTAGGTAAGTGAATAAGATGTTAATTCATTATTATGATCAAGATCAAACAATCAACCGAGCATAGTTTCCTATTGTTTCTATTGTATTTTAATATAAATAATCGTTAGGTTATATGTAACAATAGATTGACGAGATTTTTGAAATAAAATCAAAGAATAATCAACGGAACATAACTTTCTCTATATTATGATTTAATATCAATAATCGTTGTGTCTAAAATTAGGCTGATATTCTTGAAACAAAATTGAAAGGACGATAAAGATCAACGGAATATAAAATATGTAATTATGTGTGTAGAAAATTAAATAATTTCAATAAAAGAAGATAAGATCTGCTTAAGTAAATAGAAACTAAAGTAGTCGAAAGAGCGTTAGCGTCGGACGCTTTCATCTGCCTATCAGCGACGCTCGCAATTTAAGAGAGTTAATGAATTTTAGTACAATTTTTATTATCATATTTCGTATTAATTATTTTTCGTTAAGTGAAAAATTGGAATAAACGGTGTCCCTTAGAGGCTCCGTCAAGACGCCTCTAACGAGAGCCTCTAATGAGAAAATCGGGATGCCTCCGAAAATCAGGATAGTTGGTCATGCTACCTGTGTATGTGTGTGTTTAGTCGTGTGTAGCCACCGTAATCTCGCGCGAGCAATTTTAATTATTCCTTCTTAATTCTCCGTCGTAATATTCTGGAAGCGAATTAAGGGCAAGAACAATTGAGATTATCTCCGTGGCGAAAATTATTAATTAATCATCAGCGCGAATTATTGAGAGACCTCGTTGCACCCGCGCCGCGAATCGCACCGTAAAAATTAACGCTGTCATTATAATCCAGATACATTAGGATGTTCGAAGAAGGTCATAGAAAATCGTCGATCGATCGGAAATTACTAGACAGAGAAAGAAATCATATTTCATCTACATGTACTTATCCTTCATCTCTTCGTGTTTGTTTTCTTAATACGGCACCCAGTATTTCGGTAAAGTATAAAGTTCAGGGCACTTATTATAGAACTATTCGAAAACGTTTCCGATCGGAATCGTTCAGTTAGAAAACACAAATAAAATCCAGAAAATAATTGAGCGATTTCGATCGGGAACCTTCCCGGCCATTTCTATAATAGATGTTCAATGCCGGATACACTTATTTACGGATATTACTCCGGCAACCAGGAAACAGCAACGGGTAAATAGTTCTAATTCTACATTCGTTTGTACGTCATCGTTAGAAAATCAATTATTTATAAGGTCTGAAATAAACCGTATTTCAGTTACCTGGATATCTGAATAATACCCAGAAGATCGAGGTTATCCGGGTCTCAGATAATTCTGGAAGACCGGAGTGCTAAACATCCGAGTAATCTGATTAGTCGAAATTGACAGCACTGCATCGAAAAATGAATTTCGTCGGATCCACCTAACAATAGATAAACAGACGCGTTTTGATCGAAGGAAGCAGAATATCTAGTTCTCACGAACCACCAAATGTAATTTTCATAACCAGAAACTCGGTTTCCTTCAAACGCGTTTGGTTGCCCATTGTCAGATAGAATCAACTAAATTCATTTCTCTTTCACAGTAAAAATCCAACGGCGATTCCCCGCGGCAATAAACTCACGACGACGCGTTTGTTACAGAGAACAGGCGACGTATGAGGTGAACAGTGGAGGGGGGGGGGGGATCAGGGGAAGGGTTAANCCGGAACACGCCTAAAATTCGTCGCTCGGAGCGGCCGGAGATCGCGCGATGGAAGTCGCTCGGAGAAAAGTGCCATTGTTAGGCTCGAAACAGGAAACATCCCGCGGGCTTGTGCCCCCCCCCCCTTCAACCTCTGCATCCCTCGACACGCCATCCTCCAACCTCCTCCTGCTCCTCCCCGTCGCCGGGCGCGATTCTACTTCAACTTCGTGATTACCGTTTCGGGGAGGTCGGCACGAACGCGCGCGTTTCGGGGCCGGGAGGGTGGATGAAACGATCCGTCCAATGAAAAGGGCGGCTTCCTCGAGGGCACTCCGGGAAACGCCGGGGATAAATGCGGAGGCGCCGTGGTCGTCGCGCGGATATTTAAAACACACGCACACGCCGGCCCGCCGGTGCTCGTCGCTGTAATCCTTTGCGACACCTCGCCAAGTAATTACCGGACTCGTCATCGCTTTAATCTCCTTAGCTTTCCCGAGCGCGCCGATTTATTCGCAGCTTTACGGCGGCCCGAAATCGCACCACCGTGCCGCGTCGGGGGTAAAGCGGTAAATAGCGACGTAATCGTAGTGAAAGATGCGTGCGTCTCCGGAGAGCGACATGAGCCGGCTTAACGAGGTAGTTTAACGCGAATTTTCATCGGGACGAACGACGGAATTCCAGCCAGTCTCTTGCCGCATCATTCCCCCCCGCCCCCGCCCCGTTATTAGAACTTTATCGTTACGATAGGCGAATGCAGAAATATGTTGAAAACTCTGACGGCAAACAACCAGTAGGAACGGAAGGCTAATAAAAAACATGTTGGGAGTGATAATTTCGATCTTACCTGTATTTTAACCGTCGAACAATTTTATCTTCCCGCTAAAATAGAAATTATTTATCTATTTATTTATTTATCCAGCGTCACGCTTAACGTCCAGCGATTAATTATATCAGCCTTTCATTATTTAAAAAATCACTGGGTGTATTATTAATATATAACGTATTTACTTATACCAATATACATATTTTTACAGAACAGGGGGAAAAAAATATATTTTCTTCAGGAGGAAAAAAAAATATATATTTTTTTAAATCTATACCTATGTATAAAAGCCAATATTTATTTTATTTAAATAAAAGAATTTAGATTGAAGTAAACGTATTACTAACGCCCGAGAAAAGATTTTTTATTTTTTTAGATCTTGCTTTTCTCTCGGTGTACTGTTAGAATTAAAATTGAATCGGTTGCACTAACTCAGCTCCTATCGTATCGCCGAGATTTGAAGATTTAACATAGACGATTTTCGACTTGGTTGGTTGGTCGACGAAGGAATCGCGCGGTTCGACCGTACGTCATGCTGTTATTTATCGCAGAATCGAGCAGCACGAAGCGCTCTCAAAAGAACGAAGAGAATCGAGAGACGCGATTTTGCGGGATTCACGTCCGCTCATTCGATCGAGATCGCGGCTTAAACGACGGCGATCGACTGTCTCGCGGTATCATCATCGCGAACGGCAACGGATTGGATCGCTGAAATCGTGTTGCGAGACGCGCGTAATCGAGTTAAGCTCCCCGACGAGGCCGAACCACGACTCGTCGCACACACGCGATATAGATTCGTCGTCG